GTCATTTTTAGGCAGACCTTGGTTTCCTCAAAATATTAAGGACAGCCCTAAAGATAATCCAGTGTTGAATTAAACTTTACAACTTTTAGAGTCTATAGTACAGTTTTAGTGTATTCAGTAATAAGAAACCAATTTTTGCAATAAAGGTAACTACTTTAAAGCAACAGCAGCTATGAGGTAATCACGCTTACCGCCTCCTACACCTCAAAAATAATAAGACCTCCCCAAAAATAAGGCCAAGTGTTTATTTCAGGGTCAAAAGAAAATAAGATCATGTCTTATTTTCGGAGAAACACAGGTATTGGTTTTTGAGAGAGTCATAGCATACACTATTTCACAGTAATTCTCCCATTCTAAACACATCCCTCTAGTAAAATGCACAAAGACAAGCTACATTTCATCTATCGCAACAACATCAATGAAAACCCTAAAGGTACTTTTCAAAGAAAGAGTTGGAAGGGACCTTGGAAGTCTTCCAGTCCAACTCTGCTTAAACAGGAAACCCGGTTCCACCACAAAACCGCGGTAGACAAAAGCGCGGTCGACGAAAGCGCGTACGTGACGTCATCACAGCGCGACGAAAACATCGTGCTGTGAGCGGTAAATTTAAAATTAAAGCGAAAACCTTACCCTAACCCCCCCAAACCTAACCCTTAACCTAACCCTAAACCTAACCCTTAACCTAACGCTAAACCTAATGCTAACCCTTAACCTAACGCTAAACCTAACGCTAACGCTTAACGTAACCCTAACCCTAACCCTAACCCTTAACCTAACCCTAACCCTAACCCTTACCTTTATGTGAATCGGCTTGCTTTAATTTTATTTTAATTTCAATTTAATTTATTTTTAATTTTTTTCATCGCGCTGCTGATGACGTCAGGTACGCGCTTTCGTTGAGCGCGGTTTTGTCTACCGCAGTTTTGACGGGTCACGGGAAACCCTATACCATTTCAGACAAATGGTTATCAAACTTCTTGAAAACTTCCGGTGTTGGAATATTCACAACTTCTGGAGGCAAGTTGTTCCATTGATTAATTATTCTTACTGTCAGGAAATTTCTCCTCAGCTCTAAGTTGCTTCTCTCCTTGATTAGTTTCCATCCATTGCTTCTTGTTCTACCCTCAAGTGCTTTGGAGAATAGTTTGACTCCCTCTTCTTTGTGGCAACCCCTGAGATATTGGAATACTGCTATCATGTCTCCTCTAGTCCTTCTTTTCATTAAACTAGGCATACCCAGTTCTTGCAACCGTTCTTTCTTTTAGTCTCCAGTCCCCTAATCATCTTTGTTGCTCTTCTCTGCACTCTTTCTAGAGTCTCCACATCTTTTCTACATCGTGGTGACCAAAACTGAATGCAGTATTCCAAGTGTGGCCTTACCAAGGCATTATAAAGTGGTATTAACACTTCACGTGATCTTGATTCTATCCCTCTGTTTATGCAGCCTAAACTTTGTTGGCTTTTTTGGCAGCTGCTGCACACTGCTGGCTCATATTTAATGGTTAACAAAAATCTTGTCCTGTTTAAGGCTATTGATTTGTTTATTACATTTTAAACTTCAGATAGTCCTTGACTTATGACTACAATTGAGCCCAAAATTTGTTAAGTGAATTTTGCCCCATTTTACAATCTTTTTTTGCCATAGTCATTAAGCCAATCACTGCAGTTGATACGTTAGTAATCCAGTTCTTAAGTGAATCTTGCTTCTCCATTGACTTCTTGCAAAAAGGTGATCATGTGACCCTGGGACACAGCAAGTCATAAATATGAACCAATTGCCAAATAACTGTATTTTGATCACATGATCATGGGGATTCTATAAAGGTCGTATGAAAAATGGTTGTAAGTCACATTTTTCAGTGCAGTTGTAACTTTGTTACAACTTTGCCCTTGTAACTCTATATAGTTGTAAGTCGAGGACTACCTGTACTCATTAGCAACTGCTGCATAAATTCCTTTTAGTGGTATTATAATATACATTAATCTGAACAATTATAAAATGTGTATTTAATAAAACACCCATATTACAAAGCTTATGCCCATCTGGGACAAGTGAGATCTTATCTATTAAACTGTGAATTGCACTCTAATTTGAAACAAAGGAAGCTTCTTTCCTTTATTAAAATGTTCCCTGCGCATTCAGATGAATATGTAAATTATCTGCTAGCAGTTAGACATTCTGTACCTATAAAGGTGTACTATAACAAGATTGCCAGTCCAGGACAGATCTGACTCACTATATATGTATCAAATTATGTGGATTTTTGTGACCGTTGTTGTTTGATGTAATTCTGATCTAAGACCACATAAAATCTGTAATTGTAATTGCATAAATGTATAACAATCCAAGAGAATAAAAGAAGTCCAAAAATTCAATCTGACTTGGTTTCAGAATGTTTGGGTTCCATAGATCATCCAAAGTTTGCTTCTTAGGAAGACAAAACTTTAATTAATGGCATTACTCTTTTTTTATAAAGTTGTATTAATTCTCTAGTATTACATTTAATTAGTGCTTAATAAACATCATGTTGCCTGGGTTGTTTTGTTTGCTTAACAATACAAATTATATTCCTAATCTTTATCCTTTTTTTCCCAGCCATTGATAAATAAATTCCACGTTTGGTAGTATTCTGTATCTTCTATCTGTTTAATCTTCAATATACATCTGTCCATTTCTACACAGTCCAATAACTTAATTATCTCTTCATTTGGTGATATTTCTTCATTTTCCCAAAGCTGCGCAAATACAATCCTTGCTGCTGTTGATACATGCAATATTAAATGTACACTTCATTTATCAAAGTTTCCTGGTAGTATGTCTAATAAAAAAAGTTCAGATTTAAGTTCTACATGTTTTCCTGATATCTTTTCTAGCCACATGTGTATTTTTGCCCCCCCTTCCCCCCCCTTTCTTTAGCACAAGTCCACCACAGGTATGTGCCAGATTTCTGGTCACATTTCCAACATTTGCTAGAATTTTTTGAATATTTTGGCTAACCCAGCAATCCAGGTAAATGCTATCTATAAAGCATCTTATACAACTTTAATTTATAAGAAGTTACCAAATTAATGGCACTACTCTTGTGTGTGAAGTTGTGCAAATGCAATCTAGAGACTCTACAAAAAAATGCACCCCGTGGCTGGAAAGGAGAAAGAGGTGAGGAGAGGAGGATGGAAGGGAAAGGAAGAGAAGAGAGGGTAGAAGGGGAAGAGAAAGAGTAGCAGTAGGAGAAAGGGAAGAAGGAAGGGGAAGGATAGGAGGAAGGAAGTAAAGGAGGGAGAAAAG